TTGAAGGTGGAGTAAGTTTAGTAAGTTAAGAGAAGAAATTGTCAGTAAAATTCCACCTTAGAAAATTAGGCAAGGCAAATTTCATGTGAAAATCAATTCTTAACACTTGGCAATAAATTTCAAATAGGTTATTTAAAAATGTAAGTTGTTTTTGTTGAAGTGTATTGACAGTGTGATACTTCACGAGGATTCTTGGCCCCAGATAACAAAAGTGAATTTGAGCCAGTTAAATAGCAATGTCTTCTATGTAAGAAGTCATTGAGGAGGTTTTCAGAGAGTTTACAAGTTTGAAAGAAACAAATTGGCCATTTTGGTTTAAGCTTGTGTACAGCTCTGTTATCTTCTAGACCTTCCTACTGGCTGTATTTAAATATTGGCAAAATTTTTGTTTGATCCGAGTCCCTTGGTACAGCTTATATGAGCTTTAAAAAGATACCGTGGTTAGCGTCAGCAACAGAGTGGCAATGTTTATAAACGTATTTGTTTGGAAACAGTGAAATCAAACCATTGCTTTGTTTACTATTGTGAACAGTTGACTCAAATTCATCTTATGTATCTTTTAAAAATGTTCTGCAGTTTTACAGAACAAAACCAGCTACACCTATCTGAATTCAGAGTAGTGCATATTTTATCATGACCACTTAAGGTGATAGTCCAGGTGCGTGATTTTTAACAGGTCTTCCTTTTACAGCTTTAATTGGAAAACTTATTTGTATATAAATGAACTTCAGTTTTGTAAGAAATATGCTAATTTATTATGGGTAATTGGAAGAGAACTTGAGGTGGTGACGTACAAGGGGGAACGCTTCTGAAAATGTGTCAAATTATGCGGGGTTAATCATAGGCAATTTTTCTTAAAAAGCAGTTTGTCCATTGTGTGTATATATAAACTTCACAGCAACATTATCCAGCTGTTAGTGAGCAATTACAGCTGTCAGATTGAGACCCTTTCTTGGTAGATGTACATTTAAATACACTATGTCTCATAATACATAAAGAATACAGTCAGTGAAAGTGCTGCTGTTTGATCTTTTGCTTTGACTCGCAGTCCTGTTCCTCTCCGCTCCTTTTTGTGGTTAGATGTGTGAAAGGTGTTACTTCTACACTCATAAACTGTTGAGTTATAGATTCTGCGTTTGCTTATAGAGACCTCTCTTTCTTTCAGAACAAGATGCTTCTGCTTATTTTGTTGCTCCGAAAAGTTGCTTCAGTGTTTTAAAATAAATAAACCAGCCTGCCTTTCTTTTTTGGAGCAGCCTAAGAGAGGCGGCGGGGAGGGAGGGGGGAGCTCTTTTGCCTTGCAAGTCTTGCTGAAAGCTCAAGTTGATACCTAAGCTCCCTTTTCCCTGTAAATACAGAAGCAGTTAGCTTTGTTCGAAAATCCGTACACATGAGCAAAACAAGGTAAGGTGGTAACACTGATTTGATCAGTATAATTACATAAGGTTTCTGCCAGCACAGATGCCAGCACCATCCCAGCAAAAGATCTGTAGTGTAGACTGGTCTAAATCAGAGTCTGGCCTGTTCACGGGGAAGGGCTTGATTGTTTAATGAAATGGAGCTCTGTATTGTTCCTTGTTTGAGCCAAAGGAAAAATAACTTCTGGACACAGTGAATGATTAAATTGAGGGGACTATAATATATCCTGTCATAAAAATGTCATTTGAGGACTTCATTGTTTCTTCCCAATTTCTGTGTGGCATTTTGTGTTTTCCCATGCACCTAAAAAGAAGAATATTCTTAAAAGTTGAAACAAAGCAAAAGAAAAATTTGTGACTGTTGTAGGTGACCTTTTCTGACTGACTTTATTTAGTAAAAAGGTAGTCTGATAATGTTTTGATTTTTCTTTGTTACTTGATTTATCAGAATTTAATATATTCCCCTTTAGTGTACTGAGTTACTCTACCAGTCTGTCCAGAAGGTGTTAGCACACTGTGTAAACTGATCAATTGGAACTTGCTTGGAGTTTTGTGGGTTTTAATTTCTTGTCTGCTCATGCTTTTTGGACATAAAGGCATGCACCTGCACTTCACAGTTACTGTTTTGCTATTTCTCTGTGAGGGAGGTACTACATGATGCAACTTCTCCTCTGTGAAGAATCTAAAATAACAAGTTAACTTGAAGACAGAGTGGCAAAGAAGTAATTCTGGAAAAAAGTAACAAGCTTCAAACTGCTCAGTGGCTGGATGATGATCCTGTATCACCAGTAAATCAGATGGTTCTGGTGTCCCTGGGGTGGGGTGCAGCTGGGGGTCAGACCAAGACCTAAAAGTAAAAAAAACTTGATACATGAAAGTGCTAAATTTCCTCATCTAGCTGTGCCGTAGTGGGTGTTGGCAGAGCTATCAAAGAAGAGAAATTGCATTGCTCCATAGAGCCTTTTTATATTCTTTACTTCATAATAACCTGAGGCCTCGTGTTCAGAGGTAGTGAGCTCATATCTCAGAGGCTTTCGAAGCTGCAGATACTCAGCCTCTCTAAGAATTATGTCTGAAAGCATCTAGCTTTTTAAGGGGCGCAGAGAATAATTGCAACTAAAAACCTAATCTCATGATACAGATGGAAGCTTTTCTGTAACGTGGTATGTGCTGTTGCGTTTCATAAATAGTGTCTCAGTATTTGTTTAGATTGTTTTTGCAACCAGCTGCTTTTCAACTTGAGCAGCGCAGCAATCTCCTTTCCTAGTCTTAATGTCAGTAAAACAGATGATGCTTTGTTTTCTTGCCCCATCCTAAATGTGGGTTGGGATTTGTTTGCAATGGGAACTACTGGGTTTAAGGTTTTACAACGTGGGGCAGGTAAGAGACCATTTACAGTTACAGATCCCCCTCGGGCTTTATCACACATTGTATGCTGATCTAGCTTTTGATTGAAAGCATTACCTACTGAAAACATACCAACTTCTGCTCAGGTAGAAATTATTCTCAAGTTTGTATTGGGTGTTGAAGTATCAGGACAGCCACTTTCTGGTTGTCCTTCGTGGCACAAGTGAAACAGCTCATGGTGGTTCTGTTGGTGGCAGTTGGCAGGTGCACAGATGGTGCGCTGCTTCCTTCTCTTTTCTGAAAACCATGTTCAACTGTCTTAAGTTCCTAACTAGGAAATGTTAATATCTCAGAAAACTCTCTACTGTTTATAGAGAGAATAAGCTTATTAAGAAATGTTAAAGTAATTAAAAAACTTATTTTGGGAATTGGGGGGAAAAAAGCCTTGACCAAATGGAATAGATAAATCTAGCATATAGTGTACTCATATAGGAGGTATTTTGGCAAAGCTTTAGTTTGTTTATGGAGTAGAGAAGCTGTTTTTCCTCCAAGTTTCTGAAAATTTGTCTTTATGAAGTCACCTTTAGTAAAAGGTATACTGAGTACTGTGTTCAGCTCTGGGGCCCCCAACATAAGAAGACCTGTTGGAGTGAGTCCAGAGGAGGGCCATGGAGATGGTCAGAGGACTGGAGCACCTCTCCTATGAAGACAGGCTGAGAGAGTTGGCATTGTTTACCCTGGAGAAGAGAAGGCTCCGGAGAGACCTTATTGCAGCCTTCCAGTGCCTGAAGGGGGCCTACAAGAAAGCTGGAGAGGGACTTTTTACAAGGGCATGTAGTGATATGACAAGGGGTAATGGCTTTAAACCGAAAGAGGGTAGATTTAGATTAGATATAAAGAAGAAATTCTTCACTATGAGGGTGGTGAGGCACTGGAACAGGTTGCCCAGAGAAGTTGTGGATGCCCCATCCCTGGAAGTGTTCAAGGCCAGGTTGGATGGGGCTTTGAGCAACCTGATTCTCATATATATATATATATATGTATTTTTTACTTATTTTATTACAGATATGGGGACCCTAGTATGATCTCGCTCTTTTTTTCCATTATGCATGGACATGGACTTTTATGAGCGAACGGTGGAGGGGAGACAGTAGGAAGTCTGATTGCCTTCTCAGCACATTCCGTAGTCTGACACAGTTTTATAACGTATAAGTGGGAGTGAAGTGCTCTGCAGGCTGTTCAAACAAGTAATATTAGAACCTGAGCTTTACGAGAAAGCTTCGTGTTCCTGATTGCTCATCTGCTTTCATGCACCATAAGTATGGATCACTGCTGAAAAGGATAGTCCTGCCCTTTCCTCTGTCTTGGGCTATACGATAGCCCCTCATTCATGCAGCCACCTGATCTGGTGAATAGATCAGAGTCGAGCTGTTGGAAAAAACCTATGTTGCCTGCTGGAATCCACAGAAGGGAGATAGTAACAATAAGGGTGACAAATTTAAGTGGACATTTAGCTATGCCTTGGTGGAGCAAGGTGTGTGTGAAGGTATTTCAGTGAAGAATGTACTAAGTCATAAAACATTTCCTAATTGGAGAACAGGCATAAACTAATTTTTAGTTCGATGCGTCTAGTTTTGAATTTAATCCTGTTTAACTTCTCTTTTGAGTTTTTGTTTACTAGACTCTGGGTGTTTTTGCTAGCCAAGAGAGTTGCAATATGATGAATGAGAATTGTCAGTCAATTGGTATGACAAATTTGTATTTTAAACAGTTTTGCATGCTTAAAAATAGCACATAATGAGTCTTACATGTTGGGTAACGATTCTGTGGTTAAGGGAGGAAATAGACTGTATAAACTTTTCTGTTCTTTATCTACCTGCCTCACCCTTTCCCTCTATTATGCCCTCTACACAAACTGGAGGGGATCAAAGCTTTTTTTTTCCTTCCCCATCCTGTTTCAGATTCCAATAAGAGTGTTTATAGATGTTTTGGTGTGAATTTGACATTGCTTGGATCTAGTTCTTTTACTTCAGCAGATTGATCACTTGTGTGGCGACTGGTTCTTTATAAATACTGGTTTGTTTTAACCACTTTATATGTTAGTCTCAGCAGGTCATGACTGAGTTTAAACAAGTAAATTGGGATCAGAATAGGTGTGGCATTTAATAATTAACTTTCTGGTTACTCAGGTCCAGTAGGAAACCTATAATGAGTCTGTTTTCATTTTGTTTACAGGAATAGTTATCTGCTTAGTCTCATCCTTCATATTTGGCAATCTGAGGAAAAGGTCTGAGCCAGCATGAAGACAGAATCCCCTCTTCATTAGAGAAAAAGTGAGTTGGAATTGGATTGAAAGCTGGATTTGTAGAATGAAAATACGATGTTAGCGTGTCAACACACACAGCTTGTGCTTGCTTTCAAGTGGTATTTTAACTTCGTAATACTGCTGTTATGAGTGATGTCCAATCAAGGCCTAGTCTTGGTTGAGCACATGTATAAAATTTTAAAATGTATGTATTTTATGTAAGCTCCTACACGTACTTTTCCCAAAGAACTGCTTACTCATTGTATAACTGCCCACCTGATACACTCCTTCCTTCCAAATCCTGTGAGGTCTTGCAACAAATCTCACAGGATCTAGACTTTGTGTTTCTTTTCTTGTACTGCTGCAGTCATACTGAGTTTTATTTCAATAATTTAATATTTGTCACTTGTTTCTGTAGCTGTATTGGTCTCTTCCCCAGTATTCTCAGTGCTTAATGTGTATCTGTTTTCTGAATTTGTTTTGGAAGCCTCTGTTCAAATTTAAGAAATTCTGGAAATGCAGGACTGAGTTTTCATTTCTGCCGTAGGAAATCCTGAATTCTGCATTTAAAATGCAGTTAGCTCAAGTCTTACCCTTTTCGTAGTGGTTTTTCTCCCCCTAAATGTTCTAATAGTATCAAGGAAAAAAGATTGCCTGTTTGCTCAGCCTGATTTTTGTATTTGATGCAGTACACATCAACTGGGTTAAACCTCATTTACTTTTTTTTTTTTTGAAACAGAGCTCCTATGCAACCGTTGTGTACTAATGATGTATTCTGATTACTTAGCTTTCTGCCTGACGCAGTTCATTTCAAGAAGTGCACGATGACAGAGCGTGGAATTAAATGGGCTTGTGAGTATTGTACATATGAAAATTGGCCATCTGCAATCAAATGTACCATGTGTCGTGCTCAGAGACCTAGTGGAACAATTATCACAGAAGATCCATTTAAAAGTGGTTCAAGTGATATTGGTAGAGACTGGGATCCTACGAGCACTGAAGGAGGGAGTAGTCCTTTGATATGTCCAGATTCTAGTGCAAGACCAAGGGTTAAATCATCTTACAGTATGGAAAGTGCAAATAAATGGTCGTGCCACATGTGCACATACTTGAACTGGCCAAGAGCGATAAGGTGTACTCAGTGCTTGTCTCAACGTAGGACCAGGAGTCCCACAGAGTCTCCTCAGTCTTCAGGTTCTGGTTCAAGACCAGTCCCTTTTTCTGTTGATCCATGTGAGGAATATAATGACAGAAATAAACTAAACACAAGGGCTCAGCACTGGACTTGTTCTGTTTGTACATACGAAAACTGGGCGAAGGCCAGGAAATGCGTTGTATGTGATCATCCCAGACCTAACAACATAGAAGCAATAGAACTGGCAGACACAGAAGAGGCTTCTTCAATCATAAATGAGCAAGACAGAGCTCGATGGAGAGGAAGCTGTAGTAGTGGTAATAGCCAAAGAAGATCTCCACCTACAACCAAACGTGAATCTGATGTGAAAATGGACTTCCAAAGAATTGAATTGGCTGGAGCTGTGGGCAGTAAGGAAGAACTTGAAGTTGACTTCAAAAAACTAAAGCAAATAAAAAATAGAATGAAAAAGACCGACTGGCTGTTTCTAAATGCTTGTGTTGGTAAGTTGTTTGCTGCTACCTTATACTGTTATGCCCGTGGTTAGGTGTTTTGGGAGAATGAAGAGTTAAAACATAAACTTGACATTTGATTTCGAAGCAGCTTTTTTTTAATCCCTGCATTTTAATTTTAAAAAGTAAACCAAACGTAGATGTTCCTGAAATAGCACCTGCTAACAGAGAGTACAGATTCATCCACAATCTGAACAGGGTTAGACATGTTTCCCAACTATGCTTGGACTTGTTTGACCTTTTGTAGAAATGGATATCCTTGTAACCAAATCCTGTTGTTCGTTGTAGTTGTTGAAAAGTGGAAAAATTACAAAACCAGTCTACAGAACAATGTAATGCATATAGTACTGTAAAAAATGCCATTACTGGATAATTAAAATTACTCTTCTTTTTGCTATGGCAAGATATGCTAGTAGAATCACAGCTGCAGCTTGGGAGTATTTGTAAACAGTGTGGAGCTTGCAACAGTACAAGATGCTCTGTCAGATGTTAAAAATAACACCAAAATATGTAGCTCCAAGAAACTGCATGTGTAATACTGACCTTGAAAGTAATAATGTTGTATTAATACAGATACTGTGTTGTAAATGTTTACAGGCTTTCTGAAAGTATTTTTGTAGTCAACTGCTTCAAAAAATTCAAATACCAATTTTGTTTTGTATTTTAGTGCTTTCCTAAGGAAATTCTGGATAATTCTCCCAATGCTGTTAAAGAACAGAGGCATGTGAGAGCAGGGTTTTCTTCAGTTATTGACCTTGTGAGTTAACTTTTGTGCTGTAACTTCCCAGAAGCAGATATCTTGTGCCCTAGCATACAAGCAGGTTAAACACTTGAAATACGCAACTATTTTTAGAGTAAAACACTTCATTTGAAACTCTAGCACTACTAGTATGTCTCATACTATTCCTTAATGTTTCATGAAGTCACTTCATGCTTATAATCAGAAAAACTAATTTGTCGAGCTGCTTTATTTAATATATTTGACCAGGTGTAAATGTTCTTATGGGTATCATGAGTTTGGTTTCTCTGAGCTAATAAATATTCCAGTTTATTTTAGCTGGACAAGCACATTTCCTTTTGAGAATAGTTAGATGCCTCAATACTTCCTGATACCTTCAGCTCCTTACATGCTAGCAGGTGCACAGCGCTTTTTCCTTCTGAAATAAAGCAATTGAAATTCTGGATGGTATTTTGTAAGCTATTGAATACCCAAGATCAATTGTTGGAGGTTGTTCCTGTGCCTTATAAGCGTCTAGCTTGCATTCTGATAGCAGTTGTATTAAATATTAGGGCTTTTTCACCTCTGCTTTTTGAAAAGTGAATTTTTTTTACTATTCCAGTGTTACTTAAAATATTTCACACTTTCAGATTTAATCTGTGTGGGAATGGTTCTGTTTATATTTTAAGAATGTGAGTTTTGCAAGTATTTAATGTTGCTTGTGACTATACAATTGCACATGACTCAAAAATATGTTCATAGAAATTTTGTAAGGCAATAATGATTTGGTTCTTTTCAAATGAAAATAGTATGAAGGTATCTTGAAGGGATCTTGATGAGAAAGCCAGAATGCAAATGGAGTTGTATGCTGATTTTTACTAGTGTTCTGCTGAAAGATTTCATGGATTCCTTTCTGTAACTTAAAAACTTACTATACTTTAACTTTTTAACTGAGGGGAAAAAAACAGCAACCAAAGTTGTTAATTGTCAGTCCTTCATTTCAGAATTGCATTTTGCATCTCACAGATGTCATATTTTTCCAAATACTCCTTGTAGTAGGAGTAACCTTGGGAAGATTGATGAAAGCTTCATAGATTCTTTTGTGATTGTCTCTGGACGTTTTGCAGAGCCTATCTATATTGGAAAGGTATACCAGTTTAACCGGTAATTTTAAAAGCTATAAGCCACATTTGTGCTGGTTATTTTGTTGTCTTAGTGTGACATACTTAAAACAATTTAACTGTCAATGGAACAATTTTGCCTGAAGCATATGTTCTTATTGAAATTAACTGAGTTATTGTGACTTCGTGAGTTACTGTTTGTTAGCCAGCTGGAGCTCTTGTGAACTTTTAGCTGAGCTGAATGCTTGTCAATCCTTAGCCAAACACAATTATAAAATGGGACAAGTTCATGTTAAATGTCAAGAAAGTTTGTGAAAATTGATGGAGTAAGAGTTGGTATGTAGTCTGTTACCATAGTCTGGCTGATAAGTGGTGGCTTGTTAGGCTTCGGTAACTTCAGACTGCACACCTCCGAGTTTAAGCTCAATCAGTTGTGGAGGGTCCATTTGCTTTGAGTCTGTCTTATGTGGGAGAGATGTATCAGTTTAAAGTTTTTGGATGTACAAAGTGTAGCTTTCCCTGAAGTTAAGGATTAGAGGAGTAGGAGTAATTCTTGGCAGACTTGGTTATTTTCTTTTCTCTTAGAAGATACTATCTTTCATCTTCGCATCTCAACTCTAGTTAAAATTCTTTTTACTAGATCTTAAATTTAATGTCGTTTCATTAAAAACATGTATCAGACTGCTTTTTTTCCACATTTGTTCTTTTTAGCTGAAGCATGAAGATAGAGGGTATCTTGTGTGAATTTAGAAAAGTACCTGTGTGTGCGTTTGTGTGGTTTTTTGTTTTGTTGGAGACATACATTAATGTTTGTGTGGTTTTTTTGTTTTGTTGGAGACATACATTAATGCTTTACCCACCTCAGTAAATAAATATGCCATCAAGGCTTCTATTCCTTGCAAATGTAGGCTGTACAAAATGTGATGAGTGCGACTCTTGCATTTCAGCATGAATAGTTTCCTTAATGGAGGGTATTCTTTCTGAATCAGGAGGATTAGTGGCATTCCCCCTTTCAAACTGCAAATGAATGTACTTGAATGTTATTTTTGTTATTGACTTGTTTTTTGCAGCAGTGGATGTATCTGTCAAATGATTCTTTCTCAAAAGGATGAGATTATAGAACTGATTCATTTGGTCAAAATTTATTAAAATCAAAGCAGAACATCTAGTAATTATGGCTGTTGAATAACATCACTTGCTACAAATGCCAGTTTGAGTTACAATGAGAAATTACAAATGGCTTCTGCAAGGACACCAATGCTTTCTACTGTACTGGCCTAGTAAAAGGTTAATGTGAAGTCCAAGATGACTCTCAGTTCTTGGGGGGAGGAAGCTAATGTATATTTAAAACTAAGCTCTTTTATATAACTCATGGTAACTATGCTAAAGAGACTGTAAGAGAGGTTTGGTGGCCTGTGGGGCTTAGGGAATCTGATGCGTAAGCAGAGTGGTACTGCCATGGCGCCTGGTGAGGCTGGCTAGAGCTGGCTGTGGATTTAAGTAGTACAAATGGATGAAGATGGTCATGACTATAAAACTTTTCTAGTATTCAGAGTTTGCTTAGGGCTTACACTTCAGCACTTGCTGAAGCTTCCCCTCTCCTAGCACTTCAGGTTTTACAGTGGTGCTAGCGGAGTGTGGTTGCTGCAGGACACTGCTGGGGATTCTTGGGTTGTGTCTTTAACTCCTGAGCTTGAACTGTAGCCCACAGATTAAAAGTAAACTGCATTTCTTCTCCTTTTCATTTCTCTTCCAATCCTGCTTATTAACTGCTGCAAGAGAGTTTGCTCTTCTCTTTCAGTTCAGGTCAGTAAGGTAGCTACTACCATCATGGGCCAGACTTCCCCTGCTGGGGATGGTGGCTCCAAAACCAAGTAGACATGCATTTGTCTTAGCTGTGTGAAACAAACAACTAGGAGTGTGTTTCTTAAATCCAAAATATTTAGAGCAATCTGCAATGAATCTTGTTTTGCAGTACATCCTTAAAAGGACTGTTGGTTCATTCCTAGTATTCCTGCACATGTGTCTGCTTAGTTTTTCCTTTGTCGACTACTTTATCTCTCTTACAGGTTTTTTTTTTTTTCCCCCTCTGTCCTTTTCTCCTTTCAGTTTTCTGAAATAGCGCCAAATGTGTTACCCAAACATTCACAAACCCTGTGGGAAAGGAGAGTCGCTCAGTCCAGATTTAGGTATGAAGTTGGCTGGGCAGTGTCCCAGACTGCTCTGCAGCTACAGGAGAGATGGAGGCCGCCTCCTGATCTGTTTTGCAGAGCATGTGGCTCTTCACTGGCAATAAAGCAGTCTGAAGGGACTGACATACCAAGGTGCTTTCAGCTGGCACTGCCACCCAAAGTAGTCCTCCTAGCTGCTTATTTCTGTCCTCCTCCTGGCATGTTTGCATGCCAAGGTACAATGAAGTGCGTCTGGAAACAAATCTTGCTAGAAATGAAGTTTGATCAGCTTGATTAGGGGATATTTTTGTGGGAGGTGTGGTGGTTGCTTTGTTTGTTTTGCTCTTTTAGTAAACCCAGACTGGTTTCCTCATCACATCCATGGTACAGCTAAACCTTGCTGGGGTTGTTTATGCTGTAGTAAGGGAGTGGGAAGTGTATGGGTGGGAACAAGCTGCTGGAGGCGGGGAAGGGTCATGCACTGTTCCTTGCTGGTGTCAGTTTAGGCTAGCTTGACTGTTTGAGGAACTATAGCATTAATTAGTCACTGACAGGTGATTACCTGCCATGCTGGCCTTGGCTAAATATGGCAAACAGTACCTGTTGGGATGGTTGGGGGGGAAGAGTCTTTGGTGTGAGCTGTACAGCCTGGCTTCCTTCCCCCGTTCCTTTGTGATACTGAGAAGCATGACTTGGCATACTTGTCTGCTGTGCCAGGTAACAATGATGTAAGCTTACAACTTTCACCTGGATAAGAAATCTTGTATTGTCATCTGTGTCCTATACGTATATTCTGTCATAACTACTTCACATTTGTGTGTGCGCGTATATCTTTCAGAGTAGGTAAAATGCTGCATGCCTTACTCATTGGTAGAAAATCTTAACTCCTGAAACACACTTCTATTTTGGTCTCTTGATTTCTTTTTTTAAATGCTCAGTGATATTTTATGCTAAAAATAATTGAATAAATGATCAAGTTAA